GTACACATAACAAAATATGCGGTATAATTCATTGGGTCAGTCTCCATGCGACAATGTGTTATCAAGCTTTGTTTTATTCATCCCCTAGGCTGTGATGAATAGACAAAACTTGCATTATAAACTTACTATATTAGTCTCGAAGCGTTAGTAAGTCAATTTTCAAACTGGCATTATTTACCTCCTAGGTTATGGTAAATATGCAAAAAATCTACGATCTCTTTTAGATATTGACGGGTTATCCACATCACCATATATAAGCCAAATCAAAGCTCTTCGTTCAAACTCTGGTAAGATGATACATTATCATCTGTGTCTATTTTCTCTACGCTCATAGGAAACATTGTACAACGTATCCTTATAATCTTGTGGTCAAATTTTAGGGTCGTCCATTATTTAATAACCCTCTGATTTGAATGTGCGAGACATGCGTATTCTCGCACCCTTCAATTGAAGAGTAATTAAATAGGGGCAGTTGTCATACCCCAAATTTGTTCGCCCTTTATTTCTACAGTAAAAAATATTTTCAACATTGGTTTTTATAATATTCTTTGGTTCAATTTTACTAACATTTTTATCAATAATTTATTACGCTCATTTAAAAATGTATAACAGTTCATTTCAAATTATTTGTATTTTAAATAGCAAATACTTGTTAGCTTTCATATACTTTCAATTGGGTTTTTTATTCTAAATGAGTAACATAGCACAATTTGTAAGGAATGAAGCTTGCAAGTATGAGGTCCTGAGTTTGAATCTCCCGTGTCACACTTTTAATATTTTATTTTTCTATTTTTTTGTTACTAATTTTCTATCCTTTTTTAGAGATCGGGTTTTGGGCTTTTTAGTGTTTTGGATAACTTAATTTCCAAGTTTTTAACCTAGTTTTAACTCTATAAATAGGACTATTGTCCATCGTAACTTATAATCTCATTTTTTCATTCTTTTTCTCACTTCGGTTTATTCCAGAATTTCTGAATAGAAACTCTGAGAAACATATCTAGGAATCTAAATTTTTCTCAATCAACAATCTCCTCCTCCCTATTATTTTATTATGTTTACTCTTTTTATCATGCGATGAATATTTTATGGTAGTCTTACCTTTTAAAAAAACTCATATTTTCATACTAACAATTGCTAACCGTTGCATCATATTTTTAGCTTGCTTTATAATAATCCATACACATATTGCACTAACCTTGTATATGCATTCTAACATAACTCTCTTTTCACGATTCAACAGCTTAAACCAAAATCAAACTTTTTTTAACCTGTAAAACAGGCAAACACTAAACTTTCTTTTAATTTCTAGAACCTGTATATGACTCATAAAATTGTTACAGCAAAAAGGGCCATTTATTTTATGAACAGAACAGTAATGTTCCTGAAAGATTTTTTTATTACATTAACATCACCCTCAACCCTTGTTTGTCTTCAAATTTCAACCATGAACACCATTAAACATCGCCCAAATGTGAAGAAATTGATATACATATTTTCACATCAACAACATGCTTATTAGAGGATAATTTAGTATTTTGTTATTTGTAGATAAGTTTATGATTAGGGCCTATGTGGCATCCTTGTTTGTGTATAAATAGGTGTACTAGGTTTACATTATTAATTCAATCAATTATCCAATCATTTGTGTCAGCCTCTATTGCATTTATTCCCTTTCATCTTCTTCCTCAAATTCATCACCTTGCACTAACAAATTGGTATCTAGAGCTCTTGGTTTGATTCTGAAACTCTGGGAAACACGAGTGATAGTGAGCTGTGTGTTTGATTTTTGATTCTTGAACAAAAATCTGAAACAGAATCACACTGATTCTGTGGGTTTGGGAAACACTGAGTGAGATCTGAGTTTTTCTGTGCAAAGGTTTAAGATGAATGGAGGCAGTAGTTTGAACACTAAACTTCCAGTTTTTGATGGTAAAAACTGGAACAGATGGAAGATACAAATGAGTGTGCTGTTTGGTGCTCAGGATGTTCTGGACCTTGTCTCTGAAGGTTATGTTCCAGCAGCAGCAAATGCTACTGAAGAACAGAAATCAGAAGAAAAAGCTACAAGGAAGAGGGATCAGAAAGCACTGTTCTTCATCCATCAGTGTGTGGATGAAAATGTGTTTGAGAAGATTGTTGATTCGACGACGTCGAAAGGGGCATGGGATATTCTGACCAGATGTTATGGTGGTGACGTATCAGTAAAGAAGGTAAAGCTTCAGTCCCTGCGAAAACAATATGAAAATCTCAGCATGAAGAACAGTGAGAAAGTTTCTGATTACATCTCCAGATTGATTCTGATCACTAATGAAATGAAGGCTTGTGGAGAAACACTTTCTGAACAGGTAATCATAGAAAAGATTCTGAGGTCACTTACGCCTCAGTTTGATTACATTGTTGTTTCTATTGAACATTCTAAAAATCTGGAAACCATGAGAATAGAAGAGTTGCAAAGCAGTCTAGAAGCACAAGAGTTGCGTCTGACTGAAAGAACTTCTGAGAGGGAAGTGGAGCAAGCTCTGAAAGCTTCTTTTGTCAAGAAGGACCAGAAGCAGAATAGACATGGTGATAAATTCCAGAAGTCAGAAACCTCAACTTCTGATGAAAAGAAATATCAGAAGGGAAAGGAAAGGTATGACAAGAAGAAGGTTCAATGTTACTGCTGTAAACAGTTTGGGCATTTTGCCAGAGACTGTAGAAACAAAGGAAGAAAATCAGAAGAAGCAAATATAGCCAGAGAAGATTCTGATGATGATCCAGAATCTGGTGGTGATTTTACTTCTGGAAGGGAAAACTCTGAAGACATAGGGTCTGGAGAACAAATTTCCAGAAGTAACTCTGAAGGTGGTAATTCTGAAGGAAGTAGTTCTGGACAAGGTTCAGAAGCCAGTATTGTTCCGAATTCTGGAGAACCTTCAGAACAAGACCAGAGGCCACAGAGAATCAGACGAATACCAAGTAAGTTTGCAGATTTTAGCATGTTGCATGATACTGAAGTAGATTCTGAAGGTGAAATCGTTCAGTGTGCCATGCTAGTAGATTCTGAACTAGTGGGTATTGAAGAAGCACTCAAGAAGAAAGTATGGCTGAATGCCATGAAAGAAGAACTTGAGGCAATTGAAAGAAACAAGACTTGGAAGCTGACAGAACTTCCAAAAGGCAAGAAAGCCATCAGCGTCAGATGGGTTTTCAAGCAGAAGCTAAAGCCAGATGGATCAATTGGCAAACATAAAGCGAGACTAGTGGCCAGAGGTTTTCTTCAGAAACCTGGACTAGATTATTTTGAGGTGTTTGCACCTGTAGCTAGACACGAAACAATCAGACTGGTGATTGCTTTAGCTGCAAACAGAAATTGGCCTTTGATACATCTGGATGTGAAGTCTGCATTTCTGAACGGTCCATTACAGGAAGAAGTTTATGTGTCACAACCTCCTGGATTTGTGAAAAAGAATCAGGAAGGGATGGTATACAGGTTAAGTAAAGCTCTGTATGGACTGAAGCAAGCGCCCAGAGCTTGGAATCTGAAGATTGATTCGTTTTTCAAGGAACAAGGGTTTCAGAAGTGTGAGATGGAGTATGGTGTTTACGTTCAGCACACTTCAGAAGGTAATATGATTTTGGTCTGCTTGTATGTTGATGACATATTACTCACAGGAAGTTCTGAACAAGAAACAACTGAGTTCAAGAAAGTTCTGATGAAGGCGTTTGAGATGACAGATCTTGGAAAAATGAGTTTCTTTCTAGGGATGGAACTTATATACTCTGAGAAAGGAATCATTTTACATCAGAAGAAGTATGAACTAGAGCTTCTGAAGAGATTTGAGCTAGCAAATTGCAAGATTGCTATCACACCTGCTGATACGAATCAGAAGTTGGACTCTGATTCTGATGGAGAGGATGTGGACGCTACAACCTTCAAACAGATGGTTGGTTCTCTGAGGTATTTATGCAATACCAGACCTGATATTTGTTATGCAGTTGGAATGGTCAGCAGATACATGAGCAAACCAAAGTGGTCTCATTACCAAGCTGCTGTCAGGATTCTGAGGTACATAAAAGGAACTCTGAAATATGGATTGTTATTTCCTTCTGGAGGAAAGATCAAATCAGAACTTCTGAGTTATTCTGATTCTGATTGGTGTGGAGACAGAGTCGACAGAAGAAGCACTTCTGGGTATTTATTCAAGTTTCTGGGAGGTCCAATTTCTTGGTGTTCCAAGAAACAGCCTGTTGTGGCTCTGTCAACATGTGAAGCTGAATACATTGCTGGTGCTGTAGCCGCCTGTCAAGCAGTTTGGCTTCTGAATCTACTGCATGATCTGAAGGTTGAAGTTGAGGAACCTCTGAAGCTGATGATTGATAACAAGTCTGCAATTAATCTTGCAAAGAATCCAGTTCTACATGGCAGAAGCAAACACATTGAGACGAAGTATCACTTTCTCAAAAGTCAAGTGCAGAAAGGAGTGCTAGAAGTTCTGCACTGTAGCACTCAGAAGCAACTGGCAGATGTTCTGACCAAGGCAATAAAAACAGACCAATTTCTGCGCTTGAGAGATGAAATTGGTGTTGTTAACTTCTGATAAATTACTAAATTATGGGATGGTATTAGAGGATAATTTAGTATTTTATTATTTGTAGATAAGTTTATGATTAGGGCCTATGTGGCATCCTTGTTTGTGTATAAATAGGTGTACTAGGTTTACATTATTAATTCAATCAATTATCCAATCATTTGTGTCAGCCTCTATTGCATTTATTCCCTTTCATCTTCTTCCTCAAATTCATCACCTTGCACTAACAATGCTAACAACGATAACATATAATTTTCTTCATATTTGCATCATAAAAACTTTCATAATAACAATAACAATAACCATGGCTATCTCTATTATGCCAATACTGTTGTACAAAAATTGTTTTTCTTGCAGAACAAAAGGAAAAGTAAGAAAGGAAATTGAGATTGAGAAATTGGAATATTTAACACAGATACTCGCAAAACAATGGGTCCAAAATCAAGTAAGAATAGTGAACCACCGCCGAGATCTACACCATCACGCTATAGCAGAGCTGCGACGGGCCGTCGACCATTGAAAATCTCAGATCCGCCGATTGCAAAAACTAATATCAAATCTGCACATCTCCGCTCCGACGAACCTTGCCAACACAAATGCACAACCGCGAATCAGACCACCAACCTCTCCTTCTGATCTGTCGATGACTACCGCGAGAATCCTTCATGAGCACTCCTTCGATCACAGCCTCCATCGCATTTCCTCCGACACGAGACGCTCGACGCTGCTGCCACTCCTTTGATGACCCCTCCTCCAAGAACGATTGCTAGCCACCATGATCTCTCATTGTTGCTCGTCCCGATCACATATCAGTGCAGGTTCATCTTGATGTTATTGCTTTTTGTTTTGATCAGGAACTTATGGTGTTTGTTTGTATTTGGAATAAGGGAGAAAGAAACAACGAAAAGAAGGAAGCAGAGTGTTGGAGAAAGAAAGAGTAACTCAGTGTGGATCTGAAAATCTCAACGTGTAAGTATTTTGGGTTTTTATTTTATTAATCCATTTAATGCCACGTTTCATTTTCTGTATGGCTGTAATTTTAAGTTAAATAGGTCAAAACCTTCCCCATGAAACATCCTCTGCCCCGTACTTATCTTTGCTGTAACTTTCATATTTTTTCTTCTTTTTGTTTTTTACATTATGTTAGTAAGGTTTAAAATTAGGGTTTTCCAATTTGAGCTTTGGGCTTTGATTTTATCTTTTTACTAACTCACACCCCCATTTCCAGATTTACACTCCCTTAGTTTATTTCATTTTTGTTGTTAACTTTTAATTAACTTGGTGTCATTAGTTTATTTTAATATTAAGAAACACAAAATAATTTAGGTCATTAATCTATATGAAATCTCCATTAATCTATAATACATTAAAACAAATATTTCTCATAATTAATTAATTTAATATTTTTCAAAGATATTAAAAATCATGCAATTCACCAATGGGTGACACGTGGCCAATATCTGGCCATGTGATGAGGAGACTTTATCAGACTCCCCCCGCCCTGTGTTCTACCATACTCTTTAATCAAATTAAAATTCAAAACAGATAACCAACGATCAAACCATTCTTCCACTAACATAATCAAAACCCCAAGAACATTTTCGAAAAAGGATTAAGGAGAATTGTTATCAAAATTAACTGCGAACCGCGTCTATGATCACTCAACTTATAACCTAGACTTGGTTCAAGGAAAATTCAAAGTATTTTCGTAATCCCTAAAAAGCACTAACCAAATAACTTTGAACTACGTATTGGGACTCAGATTCCTCATAAGAGGATATGCAAGCATGGAATTTTAAATCGTGGCGAGTTCCCCTAATAAAAATTAAAACCCTATTCCTAAACCTTAAACCTAAACCCTAGTATCCTTGTGAACAAGGTAGATGAGGGGTGCCTAACACCTTCCCTTTGTCTAAAACGAGTCAACAACTTAGAATCTCTGATCAAATTAGGGTTATCTGTTATATTTCCGTCCCTAGGATAAAGATTAATGGTGGTGACTCTTATTTTAAAACCTGTTACAACACTACCTTTTGAGCTATAACACAAAGCCTATTGGGCAATCAAAACTCTGAATTTAGATTACTTAACAGCTGGTGGCAAGCGCATTCTTGACTTTCATAAATTAGAAGAACTATGCTGTGATGCTTACGAAAGTGCCATAATATATAAGGAAATAACTAAAGCATGGCATGATAAGATAATTGTAAAAAAAGAATTCAACATAGGAAATCCTATTCTCGTTTTTAACTCCAGGTTGCGACTTTTTCCGGGTAAGCTGTGCTCAAGATGGACTGGCCCTTACGATGTCTCTAAAATCCTAAAGTATGGAGAAGTAGAAATCTGAAACCACTCCTGTAATCCTTTCATAGTAAATGGCCAAATGTTAAAGCACTATAAAGGAGGTGACATCCTTATTGATTATTCTAGCCATACTCTTATCGATCCACTTGTCCCTACTTCTCAAATATTAGCCTCTAATTGTCAAGCTAATGACGTTAAAGTAGCGTTGCGTGGGAGGCAACCCATGGTTTTTTTTTCTGGCTTTATTATTTCTTGCATTATTTTTTCTGGCTTTATTATTTCTTGCATTATTTTCATAAGGTGATTTATTTATGTACTTAACTGGACTAACCTTCATAATGTTTATATTTCAGGTTTCAAATCCCGTCGTTCTCCATAGCATTCTCCACTAACCATATTTTTCTAGAAGCAAAGTTTCGATGATATGCATGTTGTGTTCAGAGATGAAATTCAAAGAAAGTCGTATGTGGTCCTATCTGAGCATCCCATGTTACCAACCATATTCCCTGACCCTGAATGTGTATAAGACTTAATTCTTGAGGCAAGTGTGAGGTACCTATGCAATCAACTTCAATGGTAAGAATACGATGATGCCATGAATGTCACCTATAGGAACCTTACCCTGGAATTCCTAAGCTCACTAAATTATGAACCATACATTGGTAGAGGTTTTCAGAGAGGCCATATAAACTTCAGAATGTTTGGAATTGAGTACACCTTTAATCATAAGGAGTTTGCTGATTTACTAGGTTTTCAGTGTGGCCTTCATGTTATGCCTGAACTCCTTGTAGGCTATTTTATGTAGGATGAGATAGACAATTTCTGGAGTGATATCACAGGTGGAGGGAGCCCTGACCTATCTACCCAGGTGTCCAAAAAAATCCATAACCCAGCTTTATGATACTTCTAGATGATCCTAGACCATGTTTTCCTTAGAAAGAGTGATACTGATAACCATGTTAGTGCTAAGGAGATCTTCATTTTGTTTTTCATCACCCAGTCATGCCCTATAGCCTCTGGAAATTTTTTTATTGAGAACCTTCACCTTACTTCCTTATCCTCTAAGGGACTTATTCATGTGGGAGGAAAATTGACACATATAACATCTGCCCTAGGTCTTGATAGCAAATTATCTCACCTGAATTCTTACTGTGGCTACACCCTGATGGATATTACCTACTGTTTAGACTGTGGCCTAATGAGGAGATCCCATGTTAACCCAAATCACTATAGATTCCTGATAGACAATGAGACTATTCACTACTTTACCATACCTAATCCCATATTGACTAGTGTCCATGATAGAGAAAAATGGACATATGCCTTAGAAGGCCAGGGTGAGACACCTGACGAGCCCATACCCACTCCAGTACCATAATACCATCATTTTCCACCTTTTGTTTGGACCATAGTGCTTTCTAATAATTTTAGTCTGCAGAGACGCGACGTTTACACAAAGCTCACTGAGTTGCACATGGAGATGGCCATCCTTCGCCAGGAGCTTGTTGATCTTACCTTGCAGTTATAGGTATCCGATGCTACTAATTCCCCAGAGACTGATTGCCTATATCAGGAAATCAGTGGTCTCCGTCGTTAGCTAGCAGAGGCACGAGATTCCAGGAGCATTGTGGAGCCTCCGACGCACTGAGGACATTGTTTTCGATGTTCGTGGGAAGCCATTTTTATCGCTTTATTTATTTATTTCACCTATTCATACATATTGATATCTATTTTCCTACATGCTAGACTTGTTTTATTTCACATAGTTTTTCTTCCCACATTTCTCTATTTTCAGCTACATGGTATTATCGCAATTATATAATTTTATTTCTTTGATATTTCTATTTATATTATTTCTTAAATTTTTTCTATTTATATTATCTAATGTTTTTGCTAAAAAAATTATTATTAACTATATCATGCATGTACAACAAAAATGAAAGAATAACATCTAGAAGATGCTATACACACCCCCAAACAAGAAAAAAAAAACAAAGCCCAAAACCCATTCAAAATTCCGGCCCAGCGGAACCCAACAAAGATGGAGCACACCATCTGGACCTTTGCGGACGCCATGAGGTCTGGGAGTGATACGGGACATAGTCTAAAAACCCTTCATTTTTTCACCCTTAACTCATCTTCAACCTCTCAAAACCCCCATTTTCTCTATTTTTGACCACCATTAAAATCCACCAACAAACCATTAAGATTCCATTCAAACATTAACCCACTACCATTCCCACTTCCCTTTCCAATTTCAACCATTAAAATCCCATTAAAAACCCAATTCACCATCTTCCCTTATAAAACCCTTATTTTCTTCCGCATTCATCATCAATGGTAGAAATGGAGCATAATGGAGTCATTTTTCACGGAGGAAATCCTGGAGATAGGCAGAGGAAAATATTCGAAGAATTACAGACATAAGAAATCTACTCCACCAGGTATATCAATGAATATTGTCTGTATAATTTAGGGATTTATCATAGTGTATTTTACATGTTAGATAATTTAGGATTGCAAGATATTTTTGCAAAGAAGGAACCTACCTTTGAGAAGCTGACCCAAGAATTTTTAAGTTCCCTAATCTATAAAGTCAGTCCTAACACTACTAGCACGTTTGGTACGCTACATTTTAGATTGTTTAATGTTGAATATGAGTACACTACCGACGAGTTAACATGATTATTAGGAATTCCTCATGGGGAAGGTGTCCTTTGTGAGGCACCCTTGGATTCTGATTGGTCATCTGAGGCATTTGAACTTTGGAGAAAATTGACAGGTCAAAACACTGCTTCTTTTGAGTGGAACCTAGCCTCAAATATCCATAACCCGGCCATACACGTTTTTCTCTATCTTTTGGTTTGTAGCATTTTTGGCTGGGAGAATCCAAATAAAATTAATACAAAAGAACTACTATTTTTGCAAGGTAGCCTCACAAATAGAAAAATCAACTTTGTCCCCTTTCTTCTAGAACATATGTGTGTCGTTCTGAAAAAGGGGGGACAATTTCTTTTGGAGGGTTAATTATGTCCATTTCCAGAGCTTTGCAGCTTGACACTGAGCTAGCTACATTAGAACCATTACCTCACCGCATAATAAATTTAAATTTTTTGAAAGACATACGATTGTGCAGGGTGAGGAAAGAGGGAGGTTATAACCTCATGGTCCATAATGTAGCTATCCCTAATGTAGTATTACCTTGCTCTCGATGTACAAATGTGTGATTCGAGAAAAATTTGACTTATGACCAGCAAGCTCTGCCTTTTGCCAGCCCGTTGCCACCCAACATCCCATTAGAAGAAGGTATCGATACTGACGATGAGTATGAG